GAAGCACTGGCACTGTACCAGCACTGAGGATAAGCATTTTGGCTGAGAACTGCCATCATTCCTAATTCATCTTCTGTGAAGCACTAGAAGTTAGAAGAAGTACCTCTCAGAAGAGAAGTGATGGTGCATTATTTGAGTACTACTTGAGACTGTAATATTTAAAGGGAAAAAGGAGGGATGAACACACTGCAAAGGGAGAGTTGAGAAGACGCTGTGCTGAAGAGCTCAGAATTAGTTCCCAAAGGGAAGCAATATCTAGCCAGTTACATTTGATGGTTTCCCTGTCCCACTTTGAATCTGAAATACCAGAAAGTAGTATGTGCATGATAGGTAGATGTAAGGTGTGAATTATGGATACAAGAATCACTGCAGCCTTGTTCAGTCTTTATGTAAACAATAGTCATTCAGAAGTCTACTAGGATGCAATAGTGGAAGAGTGTTTTTAATACTGAAAGTGTATTTTCTCAGAATACTTGTAGTTTTAATCAAAAGGCCAGCAGATGCTAAAAGGTACTTTTATATTAGAGTAAGTACCTTTGTGAAACTAAGGTCACTTAACAAAGTACAGGGAAGGGTAGGTGCTGTGTTTCTTCCTTTGTAAAGTAATTACTACAACTTTTAGTTGTTAAAGGCTGTGATCACCAGTTTCCTAATAGGAAAATTCATTTAAGTCAATGCTTTGGCAGGTGTTCATATTTTGTGGAAAGATCCATCTTCCAGATTGCTAATGAATGGCCAAGCAAGTCTCTCGATAGTTAATAATATTGCTTAATCGCTGCAGTCAGATAAAGCTGCCATCTAATTTATGGCTATTCTGAGCATCTGAACACTAGAAGAATGATAAACCATGAGAAAACCTTATGAGGTGGGTGGTTAGTTGAAGTCATTACCTGCAGTTTTATGCATTTCCTCCTTTATCAGGTGATCTTTCTAGCATTTCCCTGCTTTGACAGAAAATGAGACATGTGGCCATACCCCCTGCTGCCTCCACTTCTACTAGGCAGCTGTTTTCAAAATAATATGCTTTCCCAGGCCACTGCACAGCCAGGAGTTTCTTCCTGGGTTTATGAATCCATAGTACACTGGAAAAGGATGTTGTGTTTTCCTGCTTACACCTAATGAAACATAATGCACCCATAAACATGTGTCAGTCAACCCTCTGGGCTGCATGTAGCTTTTCAGTGCAGATGGAAGAAGTGCAGTGCAGAGCATTCTGCAAAGGAAAAGATTGATAATCTGAGCAATCTAATGATCACCAGAGGACACAAACTTCACTTGAGGAGTAAATGATTTGAGGAAAAATACTCATTTCAAGTGCTGGAATGGATAAAAATAGTGTGTGACACGAAAACCTGACTCTGTCAGTCCTGTAGCAGGACAGGACTCAATTGTAAGCGAGTTATGCAAAATTTTCTCAAAGTTCCACGTTCACTTGACAAGTAGAATCCTAGGGCTCCTTATCCAGGACTGAACACAAGGATTCTGTTTATCAAATCTTGTACTATACAGTATAGGAGGACTTGATCCATGCTCAGGACCATTTCCTTAATTAATTGTCTTTATCTGGGAGTTAATGGAAAAGGGGTTCATGGNCAGTCTTATTCATGGTTTAAAGGAATTTAAAATTCTGTGTGTATTTTGAAGTTACAAAAAACTTTTAAATTTCTAAATTTTATTTAACTTCTAGAATTTCTAAATGCTTGCCTCCTTAGTGAGTAGGCTTTCCAATAGTCACATCTGTCAGTTCTATGGTAATGCTACAAATTCATCATGTCTTGAGTGACATCAGATTAAAATTTGATAATAAAATCAGTAGCATGAGGATCTCCACTTGTATTTTGGTATTTTTGATTAACAAGCAGAACACAGAATTTCTCTCAAACTCAGTTCTCACCAAATCTATTACATTGTATTGGACCCTGGTATTGTTGATGAGTGTCTGCTGTTTGAAAACATACATATATATATATATTATTTGCTAAATTATGTAGTAGTTATTGGAGTGCTCTATCAGCAGCTTGCCAACAAGTCAGCAGTTAAATAAATGTTAAATTGAGGAGCTTTGTAAGAGTGAGTTTTCCCACCCAAGGTGAAAGTAGCTTGCTGTGCGTGGTTCTTGTAATTTTATGGCAGTGTGTTTTTTACTGCTAATATTTTGCAGAATAATTACTTCTGAAAACTGGTTATTACTTAAGTCCATATAATTTAGCTCCCAAATAAAAGACTTCAGCAGAAACTTTTACATCTAGATTTCTGTAACAGAGAGTTATTGCTGTTACTGCAGATTTTTGAAGGTACTGGTTTTGCATTTTAGACAACATCTATCTGGATGAAACTGTCTCTAACAAGCTTCCTATGTGTTTCCTTTTTTCCTGGAGCTGGTGGCTGAAAATCTGAATGTTAGAAACTGATTTAATTAGCCATGGCAGCCCTATTTTTCATCTGATCACCAATATTGGCATAGGATCTTAATGTTCTCTTAAACTAATTGCAGGAGTAATTGGTGACAATGTGAATAATTTTTTTAAAAATTTATTTCTTGAGTAGGTAGGTTAGTACAGTTTGTGTAAAGCATAAACAGGTAGATTTATTTCTGTCAGAAAAAGCTAGGACATTAGTTAACTCAAAAATGTTTGGGTAATAAATATTCTCAGGTTACAGAATTCCTATTAGGAAATCTACTTACCGATTTTCAGCTACATTATTGTTTTCACAGATACATTCAGTTGCTGATCTAAACTGTTTTCCTCACATAAGAAATGCAAGAAAAAACTCCTGAGACTGGAGTGAATTCAGTGTATTGTAGTATGCTCTCTCCTTCCAGGGGAGTGTGTTTTCAATCTCCAGTCTCTAAGGAGAGATTTCGGGTCATGCAGGGGAACCTAGGAAAGCCCATTTTGTTGCACAGCAGCAGAAGAGCACATGTGTAAGGCAGTAATAGCTGGGGATATCTGGAACGTGATGAAGTGAGGGAAAGGCTTTTATTTTGTTTCAGTGGTACCTGTGGTTTTTTTTGCATGGATTTTTTGAAAATCATGGTCATATACTTTCATATGTTGTATAATCCCCCTGTTATTTAAAAAATTCTTTATAATTTTCTTGTGCTTTGCACTCTCTGAATTGTAATGTGTTATGTGCAGTCAATCCCATGGACTGAGAATGCAAATAATTATCTTTCTGTAAAGCAGGAAAACTACTTTCAGGTCTTACATGCTCTATATGCCATAAATACTTTTATAGCTTGGATAAATTACACTCAATGCCTATTTGCCTTACTGCTCCATGAAGTGTGTGAGGAACAGTGTCACTTCACATGAGCTTCAGTTGTATATGACTGAAATGATCTATAATAATGGCAAAAGAATAGCAAGTGAGAAGTCCTACAGGCCTGAATTAAGTAGTCTTGGAGACATTTGCAAAATGCTGTAGGGAATGGAGTGGGAGGAAAGTAATCATTGAATTAATTGCCTTTGTCTAATTCCTACATAATTAATCACTGTCTAGGATGCTGTCAGTCTCCATGCTTAGCAGCCCAATTGGCACTCTGTATTTGAAGCTTCAGGTGCTGTAACATTGTTTTCAGGTGGACCCCCTTGTGAGGTGCTTTGTTTTTCTGCAAAACAGTAATAAGAGTAAATAAAGTATTCTGAATACAATATTCAAAGTTGACGATGAGAAATTCAGAACTGATCTGGATATTACTTTAGAAGTTTTAATACTGTTGACATAACATTATGATGCTTTTTAATATTTATTAAATTAAAGTAATATGAAAGTATATAAGTATTACAAATGTATCTCATCAGAAGTTTGAGTATCATGGAGAACTATCTCTGTAGTTAATTGGAAATTTTCCTTTAGGGGTGTACTAAACAACATATTCATGTGAAACAGCTGTTTCTGAACTGTATTCTAGTTATAATTGGATTTTACCTTTTCTGAATTCTGTGGAAATGGTGGTGTACTTTGTAATTCTTCCAACTGCACTGCTAAATTATTGCCAGTCTGTTGGTCCTACCTGAAAGCGTGACATTGAGTTTTTTGTCCAAAAGCAATTGCTTGCACTTACAAGACAGGAAACCTGAAATACTTTTTTTGCTCAGGTGTGTTAGTGAGCTGTTTTTGCACAGTAAAACTGGTAGGTTTGTTGTTGGAAATTTTGTTTGGAACAAGGATCAGTAGTATATACTTTGATGCTCTGTGTGTTTTGTGCCACCCAGTGGAATTTCTACTTTCCATCCTTAAAACTGTAGTAACCTCCATGAGGCTCTTTAAAAGACCTATTCTCCAGCTATAAAAACAATAAAGATAGTAAAGAAAATAAAGAACTAAGTTGATGCACAAGGGGACACATTACGGTAGAGTGGGAAAGGCATCCTGGATTCAGGCACACCCTGATGCCTGAGTAGTCGACACTGCCACCGTAGCTGCTGACAGCATGTTTGAATATCTGAAGTTGTTTTGCATTTTAGCTTTAAATAAGATGTTTTTAAGAATTTAATTAATCTGATTAATTTTAAACTTGAAAATGTGTTTGTTCTTTTGCATTGTTTTACACTTTAATAGACAGGTAGATTAAAATGAGTTGTTTTCTGAGAGTATACTTATATATAAGTCTCAATAGTTAATTTTTCTTACTGTGCCAGTGTTTAGTATTGTTCTGCTTTGTATAAAAGCACTTGAATCCATCATGTTTGTCTTTTTAGCATGTTAAAGTAATTCTTTGCCAGACTTTCCTGCTGTTAGGAGAATTTTCTTATTTAGAAGCATTGGTTGGAGCAAAATGAAGTTTTTGAATTGATGACTGATGCTACTTTAGACACCAGCTTTCACAAAGAAATGCGATGTGATAAAATACAGATTTTACAAACCAATGCAATTTAAACATACAAATGTAGCCCATGGTTGCTTTTAATTATTATGTTTTTAGACATTTAGTATTTATATGCTGGTGTTTGAACCACATATGTGTTTGTTTGTTTTTTTATTATTTTTTTTTAGGTTAAAATGGGTTTGCTGGTAGACTTGACCAACACTTCTAGATTCTATGACAAAAATGATATAGAGAAAGAGGGAATTAAATATATAAAGCTCCAGTGTAAAGGGTAAGTTGTGTGCACTTTTTAATTATTACTTTGGCTTTTAATTTGAAAGATCACACTGAATAAATTAATTTTTTTTTCTCTTTTTCCCCAGGTGTCTCCTAATCCATGTATTCTTGTCTTTTTCAGGCATGGTGAGTGCCCTACACCTGAGAATACAGAAACATTTATCCGTGTATGCGAACGCTTCAGTGATAAGAATCCTTCAGAGCTTATAGGTACATCTTATATCAATCTTATGCCCATCATTAGTTTTTATTCTTAGTTTGTTTCATATTTGCTTGTAACTGCAGTCTCTTATTCTTAGAAGTGTGAGCAAAGGAATTTCCTCAGTAGTGTTTATGCATATCTAAATTTGATTTTACTGCAAAACAAATATATTTCTTTTTTTTTTACAGAAAGTAGTATGTTTCTGCATCCATCAGTTCGATAACACCTCTTGACTTAATGCAGAAAATGATACAGGCCCAAGAGCTATCTACAAATACATGATACTTCCACTGTGGTTTTGTAACTTCTGCTGATACAAATGCAAGCTATGTATTGTGTTGACATTTGGTGGTCTGGTTTACTTGAAGTCATATTTGGTAACTGAATTATCAGAGATTTTTTAGGAAGTCTCACAAAACTGGTAGTAGATTCTAGGCAAAGTTTCTCTTCTGTGGTATACTGTCTTGCAGTGAATATTTGAATGTTCTAAGAGTACTTTTTTTTTCCTCAGAAATAAATTCCGAGTTTAATTTGCACACCTTCTAGTTTTAGTTAAAACTATTTTACTTTGATTTTTGTCAATCATATTAGTGTTCATCTCTATCTGCAAACTGTCAAAGACGAGAAATTACTTTGCAAGTGCGTTTCCAGAGTCAGAATGGGTGTCATCCTCAATCCTCTTGGATGATAATTTTGCAGTCTTCTTGAGTCTGAGTGTCTGTGTGTCTTAGGACTACATGGGACAATTTGTACAGGTGTCATTACTAGGAGCTTGGTAAACTAAGCTGGTATGTTCATGCAGTTTAGGATTCATCCAGGTACATGGTAGGATAGCTGAAGTTATTGGAAGGCACCTGTGGAAATCAGCTACTCAGTTGCTCTTCTTTACAACAGGGCCAGCTAAAGGAGCTTCCTCAGGACTATGCCCATTTGGCTTTTGACCAGCCTCTAAGCTTGGAGACTACACAACTTTTTCTGGCAGCCTCTTCCAGTGTTTTCTCTTACAATATACAGGGTCCTTTTTCTCATATTGAAACATAATTTGTTGTATTTCAATTTGTAGCCATTGCTTCTTGTTCAGTTGCAGGATGGAATACCACTGAGAATTTTAATACCATTGAGAAATTTAATTTGGTCACACAATTTTTCACCTAGTTTTCTTTTAGATACTTGCTTAGTTTATTGCACACAGAATGCAGTTTAATTCGAGATTGTTGTGATTTAACTTCAGCCAGCAGCCAGCACAGCTGCTCCCTCACTTCTCCACTGGTGGGACTGCAGAGAGAAGTGGAAGGGTAAAGGTAATGTACAAGTTGAGATAAAGACAGTTCCATAGGGAAAGCAAAAGCTGCACACACAAGTGAAACAAGGAATGAATTCAAGCTTCCCATGGGCAGGCGGGTGTTCAGCCATCCCCAGGAGAGCAGGGCCCCATCACACCTCACAGTGATTTGGGAACACAAATACCATCAGTTTGACTGTCCCTCCATTCCTCTTTCTTCCTCCCACTCTATGCACTGAGTGTTCTATGGTCTGGAGAATCCCTTTGGTCAGTTTGGGTCACCTGTCCCAGATGTGTCTCCTCCCAACTTCCCAGGCATCCCCAGTGTCCTTCCCAGCATGGCAGCACAAAAAGCAGAAAAGGTCCTGGCTCTGTGTAATCCTTGCTCAGCAATAACAAAATCATCTCTGTATCATCTACCCTGAGTTCAACACAAATCCAAGACAACCCCACACCAGCCACTGTGAAGAAAATTAACTCTGCTTCAGTTGATACCAGGAGAGAGACCTGTGTGTTCTTCTCTGAATGGTAACACAACCATGTGGTTAAAAAACGAGGGATTGCTGAATGGGAGTGAGTGGAACCAGTCACCAACAGTATTCAAAAACTTACGCCAGAAGCAAGATATTGTTGGTGACTGATCCTACTCACTTTTCTTTCAGCAATTCCTTATTTTCTTTTTGCAATTCTTACACTTGGTCCTCCAGTAATATTTTAGAATTTCAAATAGTGGTTATGGTCAGCAGTTTATATAGCGCATGGATAGCATGGTAATATCCTATAAGTAGCAGACCCATTTAGTTGGTATTTCAACTTATAAAATGCCATTTTTAGTGCTGAGTCACTAACTTTTTTACTTTATTTTGATGAATTGTGGAATGTTTTTCTGTTACTTAGACATTTCACCTCTATAGGGGAAAAAAGTCAATTAGGGCTAAGGAGAAAATAGTATGTTGATTAAACTTTTGAAGAACATGTTGTTTAGGCTTTCATAGTAAAAGATAAATGTTGGAATTTTCAATTTCCCTTTTGTGAATTACTGAAATTTGTTATTTTGGGCACTTGTTTCCTTTGACAGAGCATCAGAGGGACTGGTGTGGAGGATGTTTATCAAAAGTGAAAGTGGTTTAGAGCAGGGATAGTACTGCACCCTGTGTGATCTTTCTCTTCCAAGCCATTTGGTCTCATGCTGAGATGCTTATCTTTGTCATATGTATAAAATTATCAACTTAACCTTGGCAGCAGTAACAGCTGCAGGATTTAGTGATAGCAATTGTGTGTAATTTTGTGCTGTGTCATCATTAGCTATGAAAAGAGACTGAAATGTGAATAATAAGTGATCAAAATTTTCAATTCATCTAGTACAATATAGGAAGGAAATTTCATTTTTGCAGCATGAGGGACAGGAGTATGCCTGCCAACCTTAAGGAAGTGACATGAAAAAATTTTGCTTCAGCAGAAAACAAAGGAGAAATGATTGTTAGGAATAAATTATATAATGAAGCTAAAATTAATTCAATTTGACACAAGTTACACAGTTTTTAGTATTTTTAAATGGTTAGAAATGATGAATCAAGAAAATTAATGGTAATTTTTACCTTGCTTTATCAAGAAGGGAAGGGCAGGTACAGACACAAAAACCTGATCCTGTTACAGTTAGTGCATACTCTTTTTTACCCACTTAAAGCTGGTTTTTGGTTTATTTTCATCAGTCTACTTTTTGCAAGTACTTCTTTGGTTCTCCAGTTGAAAAGTTTATACTTCAGTGTAGAGGAGTGAAAAAAAAAAAATAGATATTCGCATTTTCTTTGAATACGCGTCAAGTGAATTGTTACTAAATTTTCTTTACTAGGTGTGGTACAGAAATGAGAAAGTGAATTAAATCTTATGTGGCTTGCTTTGTGGTGCTGTGTTCCAGGCCTTGCACTTTGGGTCACAACAACCGCAGGCAATTAGCAGGTAATGCTACAGGCTTGGGGAAGAGCAGCTGGAAGTCTGCCTGGCAGAGAAGGACCTGGGTGTGCTGGTCTACTGACCATGAACCATCAGTGTGCCCAGGTGGCCAAGGAGGCCAATTTCCAGCAGGATTAGGAAGTGATTGTCCCCCAGTACTTGGCACTGGTGCTTAGGCATTGACATGCTGGAGTGCATCCAGAGGTCAACAGAGCCGGTGAAGGGTCTGGAGCACAACCCACAAGGAGCTGGGGTTGTCTAGTCTGGTGAAGAGGAGACTCAGAGTGACCTTATTCCTCTATACAACTGCCTGAAAGGAGGTTGTAGCCAGGGGCTTGGTGTCTTTCTCCAGGCAACCAGTGACAGGGCAAGAGGAGATGGTCTTAAGTTACACCAGGGAGGCCTAGGACATAAGGCAAAAAATTTCTTCACCAAAATGTCAAGTTGTCAAGCACAAGAACAAACTGCACAGGGAAATGGTTTGGTCCCCATCCCTGGAGGTATTTAAAAGCTGTGTAGATGTGGCACTTAGGGACAAGGCTTAGTGGTGGACTTGGCAATGTTGGGTTAGTGGTTGGATTCAATGTACTTAAGAGCCTTTTCCAACCTAAACAATTCCATGATTCTCTGGTAACAACTGAAAAATGTTAAGAATAATTGCTCTTGGTGTTAGTGGAAAGTTTAATGATATTTATAATTTAAAATTAAGTAGGAGGAAGAGGCAACATCTTGCCTGAATCCTTCATGACGTTTTTAATAGCACAAAATTCGAGGCTGGTCTGCTCATCACTAGGTGGTGCTGTTGCCTTGAGAGAAAAAGAAAAATGCAATGCATTTGATGGTGTATCCCTCCTATCACTGGGGAATGAGTTCAGTAAAACAGAGACTGAAGACTTAATTATTTTTTTTCACATTGAAAATATAACTAATTCAAGATGGTTATACTGTTGCATAGTTTTCTTTTTGTAGATTCTTAATTTTTTTCAAAATTAGTAAGTCTGGTCTTAGCATGGTAATAGCAAATTTGAGATAGAGTTGTGGTCTATTGGCACCCCTTTCAGTTTTGAGGTAAGGTAATCCGAATATGATTTTTTGCCTGATGGTATAAAATGAATATCATGCTTGTTGAATCCATGGAAAACTCAATCAATTAATTTGATTATATTGCCTCCTGACAAGAATTTGAGTAGATTTGTGAATCTTATCTGTATTAGCCATATTTCAATCACATTAAGTTAGTGCTCTTGATTATGATGAACTGAAGCATTCTATACCCTTGCTGCTGCTGATTTTCAGAAAGAATGTAATAAATTGCCTTTTAGGCTTATGTGCCTTATGTGGTGTGTGCTGCCGTGATGAGAAGAGAGATACCAATTTAATGTTACAGATTGGAGTGGAAGGATCTAAACTCACTTTCGATACTAAATATGTTTGTTAAAATCACTTGCAAGTGATTATGCCCTTTTCTTGTCTTTTCTAGGTGTCCATTGTACACATGGTTTCAATAGAACTGGATTTTTGATCTGTGCCTTTTTGGTCGAGAAGTTGGACTGGAGGTAACTTTGAATGTTAATTTCTGGGGGTTTGTGGAATGTGGCCAAAGGGTTCTTCAGTATGTTTCACTCGTCCTGACAGCTATGCTAGTATATTCAGTGTTGCTTTTTTTATAGCTACCTAATAAGTTTGAATAAACAGCCCATATTAACATTTTTTGTATCAACCCTTGGTAGCTTAGCCTGTTGCAGTCAAGAATTCCAGGTCTGGTAGGTCAAGTCACAGCTGTACTTGCTGTGTGTGGGCCTTTAGCAGTGTACATATCATATTGTGTCTTTCCCATGACATGTCCTACACTTTAAGTAAGAATGTAGAGTTCAGGGATTCCTGAAAGATTATTCCCTGTACTTTTAAATCTTTTTCATGTAGGTGTGCATGTAGGTTTTTGTGCTTTTTTGAGATCTGAAGAGATTAACTAGAGCAACATCAGAGTAACATACATACTTCTGAAGGATTGGGAACAGACAAAGCCCTCGTTTCCAGCTTGTTTTTTCACTGAAGTCTACAGCATGCTTCTATACAGACTCACCCAGGTTTTCATCTTTTAAAAATGTTGGCTCCTTCATACAGAGTAATTATCTTTTTTAGATAACATTAGTTTTAAAAGAAACTCCAAGCCCAAAGAATGCCTCTACCATCCTGTTGGACATAACTTTTGCATAACTTCTGTTTTGTAATATTTACAAAATGTTTACTTCTTGATGGAGTCCTGTGAAAGTCATGTTTCTTGACAAGCCCATTAAACATTCTGATAATATTTCTTATGTGTGGTCCTTTAAGTGAAGAAAATTCTGCTCCTGTTGCAGGATTTTCTTGTGACTAGACATACAGTTATTATGCTTAGCATACATGTGCAAGCTATTTGCAAAAACTAGATCATTGCTGTCTGTTATTAACCCTTTTAAAAGGTTTTATAGGTAAAAAAGGTAATTTTTTTTTACCCATAAAAAGGGTAAAATTTTAAGGTTAGAAATTATTCAAATGAAGACATTGGAGTCATAGAGATGGAAAACCATTAGTAATGCATGTCTGAATATTTGCAGGATCCTAGGTGTACATAGGAAGTAGACACAGACACGAATGCCCTTATTCTGTCCTGATTCTCAGTGTTCCTATGAATTAAAAAATTTGTATGCTTTTAATCAAAAAATTTAAAAGTAGCATGCAGTAATGAGACTTAGAATTGATCCTTTGTTCTGGGGAGGAAAGGCACTTGAATCTCTTTGGAACTCTTGCTTTTATGCTGCCTCTCTGTTTTCAAACCTTGGTGGGAAAAGCCTTAAAACTCAACAGCCATATCTTATTTTCTTTGCTTTGGGTGTTTAATTGTATCAAATTTGTTCATCTCTGTCAGATTATTTTAATAGAACATCCAGATATCCCCTGGCAGGAAAAAATGTCCACAGCAAACGAACAATTTTGGCAAGATGCTAGTTAATGCTGAGCATTGTATTAAGATAAATCTAATTTGCTGTATCATTCTTTAAAACAAGGCACTGTTTCTTGCTAATGAGGAAATAATATCTTCCTGATGGAAAAATCCATCCGTATTCATTCCTTAGGCATATGGTGTAGGAGTGTTGCTGCTGTTTCGTGTACAGTGAGATATATTTTATAGTTCATTTAGAGAAAGGCCTGAAAGCTCTTCAGCTTTCTGACCAATAAGGTCAGAAACCTTACTTGATTTTCTTTTCAACAACTCATTTTTCCCAAAGACTGCTGTGTTTCTAGAACTTGGAAAATTGTTTTCTTTCAGCTAGAGTTCTGTATTTGAAATCTGTGCCGCCTCTTTTGGCTTTCATTGCCATCTATTCCAGAAGATTATAGAGTTCTCCTAATATCAGAGAAAAAAAATGAGCATTTTTTAGACCCTATAACTTTTGGTTTGTTTTGTCCTTTTAGTGGCATTCATTACAGAAGATGTGAAACAATTTAAGAAAGATAGCAAAGTAAAAAAATGTCTTCTGAGAAAGAAATTAGGAGTCTTAAAAAACAGAATGGGGAAGAAAGGTCCTAAGTAACTCAGACTCTTCAACTGTCATTTTTGAAATGATACCATGTGATAGTGTCACTCTGGAGAATGTCTTGTTTTCTCCTCTTACAAAGATCAGAGGAGTGAATCAACCTTACTGGTTATTAGACACTGTTTCTGTCTATTCTGGAAAATTTACCTCCAGGCTCCATTCTATGCTGTACAGATCAGACCAAAAAAAAAAAAATCCAAACCATTTTGAATTAAATATGTGGAAAAAAACCCCAAAAAAAGTCATAGGATGTAGTATGTGTTCCATATGTAGTAGTAGTACTGTTTGTTCCAGTGTGTGATTTTTGCTTGTCAAGAAGCCTAACAGGGATATCTCTCTATTTTTGTGGTTTCTCCTCTCCCCTATATAGTAAGGTTTTAGAATGTTGATCCTTGGCACATTACTGCTCTTCACAGCCTTGATAAATGGAAGACAGAATTGTATCCAATGTTTTTAGTTAGACATTTTCATAGCATCTATGAATGGCAACAATAAAACCCTTGTGTTGTGCTCACTGTTGTATATTTTTGAGAGTTTTCTGGTTGTCTGGTAAAGATGCATGACTGTTAGTTTTGGTTTCTAATTTTTTTGTGGCCCAGCCTCCAATTTATTTGAGCAAGATTAAGTATTAGGTGCATAGTAAAAGGCTTCTGAGCCACAGTCCTTTTATGAGAAATTCTGGAAAGAGGAGTAATTAAAAAACATTAGTGTGGATTTTGTATGTATGTGTATGATGTATGATGTGTATGATGGCAAAATCTCTAATGAGAGGAAACACAATTCTTAGCAGAGAAAAATGTAACCACATTTGAATTGAAGCATTTGCATTTTTCTTCATTAAGTTTATTGATATGTTTCTTTGGTCTTTTTTTTTGTTCATGCAGTCCTTGGGTATTTACCTGCATGTTACCTGCATGTTTAATTGCTTCTCTGTAGCAATAAAAAAAGTTTTATCTGTGATAAAGCAGTGATCAGCAGACCACTAGAAGCTACAATAAGGACTCAAAGCAGCCTGAGCTGCAGCTACTTGAGAACATTTGCAGTGCCTACAGAGTTATACAGAATCCTGTGCAGGGGCAGCTGCTACCAGACTGACCTAAGCATGGGCTTGCAAATATAAGGAATGATTTTGCAAATACCACTTCAGAATTAGTATTGATTTGCAGTCCCAATAATTCTTATGTTTGTTGAGGCATGACATAACTAAAACATGTAAATTAAGAATCCACAGTGATTTTCTTTTTTTTTTTTTTTCAGTATTGAGGATGCTGTGGCTACTTTTGCTCAGGCCAGACCTCCAGGTATTTATAAGGGTGACTATTTGAAGGAATTATTTCGTCGTTATGGCGATGAAGATGATGCACCAGCACCACCAGAGCTTCCAGAATGGTGCTTTGATGAAGATGAAGAGGAGGATGATGATAATGGTAAAACTGGAGGCCCAGAATCAGAACCCGGATCATCAAGCTCTTACTTTGGCAAGAGGAGAAAAGAACGCCTAAAACTGGTAACTTTGATTTGGAACTTAATATTCAAATTGCTAAACATAATTTCATAACCTCATACTCATCAGTTACCTCATCGTACATGCTGTACAAGTGTCACTGCTCTTGCAAATGGGCACTAGAAGCATTGTCTCTAATTGGAAAAAATTGTAGATCCATTGTAAACTTTTATTTGTATTTCCCATGTGAACCTTGAACTTTAATATTCAGCACCTCAAATATTCCAGTTGTAAAAATGACTTAAAAATTTTCTAATATAACAAATTTTTGAGATACCAAAGTGCGTCTTAATTATTCAGTCTGTCTTTAGAGACAAAATATTATTAGAATTGGGTGGAAACATCTCTTGTTTTTTATAGTCATGCAGATGAAATTCAGAATTTTTAAAATTCATTGCTCATTTTGGTAAATAGTCTTTGGGAAATTTTGTAGGATTGAAAATTGTATGAGCAAAAAGCAATATGAGCTTAAAAAAAACAAGGTAGCTTTGAAATCATATTGTTTTCAAAGCTATTTTAGCTTTATAAGAAATTTGGGTGATCTTACTGTGATTTCTGACATGCATCTGCATATTTCTGATGAAATAAGTTACTGTAGTTACCATGATATGGAACTAATACTCAAGTACAAAGAATATATTTGTATCATCTGAAGACTAATGACTCAGTTCTCTTCAAATTCCTGACTCTTTTTCTTTGCTTTTTTATTAGCAAATGAAGTAAGCTAGACTATTGCTGAGTGCAAAAGTAGATTTTTTTTTTCCATTATACTGAATTATATTACTTGTGTGTTGAGGTGTGTTTGTTTGCAAACACTTGGAAATTCTCATACTGAAATAGGCTGCAAAAAAGTGTTTTGTTGTTACTGCAGCTGGTCAACAAGATTTACAGGTGGAGTATGGAAAATACTAGCCTGACAGGAATACAGTCTAAAGAAGCAAGATGAACTTTGAAAACTTTCAAATTATCTTCCATCTGGCATGAAAAATTTCCCACAACCTAAAACGTAGTAAAAGTATATTCAGGGGGTATGGTCACTTCCTCCATTAGCCTTGCAGTAAAACATTGATACCTAAATATTTTTTGGGGGGCTGAAACCTTTAAGTTTTTTTGGTGTGCCTTCTGATGCATTAGGAATTGAGGTGTTACGATGAGTTACAATGACAGCCTCTTTTCAGCAATTACAAAACTCAACTGGTCTATTTAACAGGAATGATACTGGCTTCCCAGGCTTTTTCTTGTCTGCCACCATAGTTTTGTTGAAAGCTGGAAGCTAAATTATACGAATAAGCATATTAATAACTAAAAGTTAATTGTGAGTTAGATAATTTGTGAAAGAAAGAATCATCTAGTTAATATGCATATTCGTATAATTCAGTTTTGCAGCTCTGAAGGAACATTCTTTGACATGAAGAGGAGGAACGGGCAGAATTCTTTACCATGGTTCATGGCTGGCAGATGGGACTGCTTCTTAACTCAGTAGAGATGGATACAGTCTATTTGTGATTCCTTGTAAATATGCGGTCTACAGGGGGAGTGAGTATCAGGTAAATACGTCTTGCTCAGATATCCATATTTTACTCTCTAAAGGGCTACATTTTCAGTATTTTGTTGGTTTCCTGAAGCAGATGTTTCCACCTTTATTATTCATATTTTCCTAAAAGCCTAGGGGTAGGCAGTGTAAAACTAGAGGTAGCTGTAGTGACTGCAATGTTCTGAATTTTTTCTCATTTTGACCCAAATATTTGTGGAGACAGAAGAAAAAATTACTAGTAGTGGTGGAGGAGACAGCTCCTAGGCATCCTGCTAGGATAATGAATAGTCAGAAACAACTGCTAGCTAGCCTGTGAAATGAAGTTAGTATACTGTCCATTTCAGAAACTCTGATGTGAGAAACTTTACTGTAACATTTTTCCTTTACACTTCCTATATTTAGCTGTCAAAAAGTCTTGACAGCCTTCTTTCCTGCACTACATTCTAAGTGTAAGAATCATTAGAACATAAAGCCATTACAGTTTCCTTTGTCATCACCTGAAGGAAGTTGACAGATACCAGGAAATCTGTTTGTTGCAGTCTGAGGTGCCACACAGGAAATCCAAACAAGTTTTGACTTTGTCAGTGCATGCAGTATTGATTGTAGCATCAAAGCAACATTATTAACTGACACTCAGAATCTCACTTCAGGAAAAAAAACCCTTCATTTTGCAAATCAAAAATTTAATTTGTAATTCTGAGCCAGAGCCTACAAACCTTTAAGGGTCAATTGGAACTTTCACTGTTTATTAAGGAATGTTGTCTCTTCTAGTCCTGCATAAGTTGCGTGTTACGGGGTGTGGGATGCAGTGCTTCTGAAATGAATGGTGACATCTTAAACAATCTGGAAGAGAGGGTGGCTGGTAATGATCTTCTTCATGATTCTGAGTACAGAAGTCTTGTGGTCATCTGTGAGATAGAAAGAAGCAATTAAACTGATTTGACTTAATTAGGATAATATTTATTAGTTAACTATCACAGTACGTTGATTCTAAATATTAGTGACTTGGGGTTTTTCTGCCTTACCAGCTCCCTTTTGCAAAGTTTAACCTTTGCACTTACTCTTCTGCCTGCAGGCATCATGAAGGATATGGAAAAAATAATCTTTTTTGATTTAGCAGCACCATTTTATGTGCTTGATTATGGGTAACACTTCCTTCTCCATGTTAAATGCTTATTAGTTCATTTTTTCCTTATAGACCATATTTTTTGTACTACTGACCTTTCTTGTTATTCTTTGTATTCTGTCATGTTGACTCATGTTTTCCTGACGCTGTGGTGCCTGTAATTAAATGCAATCCTCTAGTTGAGGCTATCCTAGTAAGGCTTAATATGGAGAAATTAATTTCACATGTCTTAAGGCTAATATTTCTGTTTATATATCTCAACATAATTGCCTTTCACAAAGCAGAACAATACTAATTCAGCTTTTGGTCTCTTGCTGCTTCCATGTCTTTTTCTCTAATTATCTACCAGTGTGTGTTTGTATAATTTCTTATCCATTATTAAGTGTAGAACTTTGTTTATGCTGAATTGCACAGTGTTATTTCCAGTCCATTTTTAAAATTAAGGATAACACTGAGTCTTAAACTACTATCCCAATCTATGTCCCTGTTACTAAAGTCAGAGATGTCACAAAAGTAAGAATTCTAATAGGAAGCTTAGTGAAAATATATAAATTATCTTATGCCTAAAGCAGACCCTACAGATTTTTCCATTTTGTTAGTGAAACACTAACTCCTCTGAACCTGGTTTTGAAACAGGTTATTCTCTTCTATGGAAGTTACATCTACCCCTTGTTTTCTGAGTTCCTCTATGAGGACGAGATAAGCAAACAAGACAAACCAAGGCAAATGCATGCACTGCCAATTCTGTGAAACCTGTTTCATTATGAAAACCAAATGTTTAATGGAACACCCTTGCTACTGAGTGACAGTTGTATGATTTTGTTTTCTTTTTTGCTTGTACATGCCAAGAGGCAGTTACTGTGATTTGGTCCTGTGTTTCTAGGTATTAAATCTAAGCTGATCAGTGTAACTCCCTGTCTCTCACTTCCTTCATTTTAGAAAATGTCTCTTCCTGACGTGTTTTGCAATGTTTTTTGTCTTCTGAGAGGTGGTCTCTGAGCATATTGGCGCACAATCAAGTCTGAGTAGCTGAAGACAGCTCTCACCTAGGCCTGGTGATAGCCTCTAGGGTCAGAAAGGTGTGTGTTTGGGGTTGTTCCCACTCACCCACTCCTCCAGATGGTGTTTAGGATATGAACCAACAGAGGATGATCCACATTGCCACTTCTCCTTCAGCTGAAGTGATGGGTGGAGAAATTCATGGCAAGTGGGGCAAGGTTGATTAGTACAGATGGTGTCAAGGTTGTGCAGAGTGTAGATACTAAGTACGTGTAGTTTCCTTGGATCCTTTAGGGCTTATAACTCTTGGTTTAGTATGAGGAGTTGATGTGCTTCTGGTGATCTAAGTTGTCTGGAGTCTGTGCACCATGATCTCCAGTGTCCTGTTTCCAAAGGCATTAGTAGCTGAACAGTAGAGTAAAAACTGCACGGGTCTAGCTCACTTTAAGTGCCTTATCCAAGGAATGTCCTCATGAAACCTGGAATGCTAAGGTAGCCAAGCACGAATGCCCAAATAACTCACATTGTTTTCATAGTTCTGTGCCTTAGCTAGTGATTATACTTGAAGCAGATAATCTTCAATAAACATTTTCAAGTATGAATTTTATGGTTTTTACTTTTTCTTTTCTGGAAGATCTTTCCTGTTCTCTGACTGTTACTTCAGTCTTAGTGGTCATACTGCCATTGCTCTCTGGTGCTATTAACAGAAGCAAGGCAGAAACATCTTCCTTTCTCTCCTGGTGCTCCTCATCACTTATCAGAATTCAGACAATGTGCTGGCCAGGCATGAGTAGCTGTCTGCCTCTCTCGCCCACTCCCCTGCGTGCTGGTGCACCGGCTGGTACCTGTGTAAATTGTATGGGGTGAGTGACACACAGAAGGTCTGTGGAGCTCAGGGTAGTTAAGGTTATGAACCAGTACGTTTCTTTAGGATGTTCTATTCTCAGAATGTGATTCGGTGATATGGCTGAGCCAATCTTAACTAACTGCAGGCTGTGCTGAAAATTGTGGTCCTGCTTTTCCCTGCTTTCCCTTTGCTTCCCTTGTGCTGGCACTAGAACTGAATTATCCTACGGTGAGCTAGTTTAGGGTGCTATTTTGGCAGAAGATTACCAATTTATGATGTTATTTTTGCCAAATTAGTTCCTAGACTTGCTCAAATGTATAACAGATGAGTGCCACAGTGTGTGGAAATGCAGAGGAGATGGTTTGATCTGCTTTGTGTGCATTTAAAATTTATTTGCGATTCTGTTGAATTAAGTCTGGTTGAGATCTTCATAGAAATGTTTCATTTTGTAGTTTTGTAGACCCGATGGCTTTATGTGTTCTGTTGTGCAAGATTTGTTTTTATTCCTCTTGACATCAAACTTTTTCTAGAATGTACAAGTTATTTTAGAGTTTTATTTCCAGATTAGCTTTTTTGATCTCTACATAGCCTTTTCTGGGGCATTCAGGATAGCAGCTCTATACTTTAATCACCTAATTTAGATTAAGAATAAATTATAAAAATATATTTACAGAAATATTTTTTTACAAATCTGCTGGTTTTTTTTTCTTTTTAAAGTTTGTCCTAGATCAGCTTTCTTGAGAGTATTAGCTAAGTAGTGTAAGCATCTAAGTACTAGCTATCCCTTCCTGCCTTATCCCTATTGCCTTTTTTTTTTTAATTGCATATTTTCCTCATAAATAACTCATTTCAGTTCCTGGTTTTATAATATGGCTCACCTGTGAGTTTCCTGGAAAAGCTCAGCAAATGTATCTTGGCGTCTGGGGGTAAATCCTTAAGGAATGTTTAAGGTTATATTGCTCTAGAGGGTTGTGAAAACAGACTTAATCTTGTATTGACATATTCTGATTTGATTTTATGAAGGCTTTAATACTAAATTTTTTTAATTTTTTTTTTTATGTAGGGTGCAATTTTCTTGGAAGGAATAACAGTTAAATGTGTGACCCAGGTGACAACACAACCAAAATTAGGAGGAATACAGCAAAAATGTCAGCAATTCTGTGGATGGGAAGGGTATGAGAATATTTAGAACTTACTTATTTATACTATCTAGAAATAAGTGTTATATTTTGCAGAATGAAACTGCTCATTGTAAAAATGAGAAAAAAAGTGGCTAATTTTGAATGTATTGTTTATAAAAAAAACCGCTCAAACACACTTGGTACTGAAAATCTTGCACTGTACTATGAAATAAAATGATCAGTTTTTAATGTTAAGAAACAAGATTCTAGAATTACTTTTCCATTGAGATAACAAAATGTTGCTGTTCAAATTCCAGATGTAGCCTAGTCCAGCTATTTGTGTAAAATTTAGTTCTTTCTCAAGTAGTAGATTTATTTATACCACTGCTATTATACTTCAGTATACAGGTGTACTCATTTTTATAGCTAACTTGGATTTGTGTTCAATGCTCATGAAAATGTTGGTTTTCATGTCTGTGATTCTGAACTTTTCCATTCCAAAGTTGGTGATCCACACTACTTCCTAATTTGTTGATGTGTATCGTCCCTGATACTCTAATTTTTAGTTTAAATATCTCTTTCTGTAAAGTTAAAACTCTGAAGTTCCACATAATGTAGTGTTTTGTCATAAGCAAATAAACTTTGCTTGTTCTTATGAGATAGGCTTTTGACTTCTATTGCAAAATGCTTCATTGGAGAAGATATTCTAACTCAGAGTTAACCTTGCAACAAGTCAACACATGAGGTGTGACTTGAGTCTGATGTAAAAAATGTATTTACTTGTGTGAGTATTTATTGCAGAACCATTAATAAACATAGTTCTTTTTATTAGGACTGGATTCCCTGGAGCACAGCCTGTTTCAATGGACAAGCAAAATATTAAATTTTTGGAGCAGAAGCCATACAAAGTTAGCTGGAAAGCAGACGGCACCCGGTAAGTTAATTTTAAATGAAAAAGCAACACACAGTAAATTTGGTAGACAGCTTGTATTTTCTCAGGAAAGTGAATTTGCTGGTACAAAGGACAAAGCACAGCAACAAAACTGGCTCCAGAGATTAATTTTTATTCTGTGCTGGTACCCAACATTTGCTGAAGTTTGTGGCCAAGTTTTTTTCTAGCTGGTGTTCTACACACTGTTAAAAGGAAGGTACCCTTACTCTTCTCCATAACCCTTGCCTGTCTGTCAGCCACAACTTGCCACCAAGGTCTTAGAGTAATCTTACGTAACAGTGAGAGTTTGCTAAGGTGAAGACTTTATTTATAAGCTAAATTATAAGCTAAATTAAAATTAAATTAAATTTCTAATTGATCCTTCAGAAGATGGACAATATTAGAAATTCTGTAGGATTTCTTTATATTCATACTGTGGTCCTTTGTTTAAACATAGTTGATGTCAGCTAAAGAGTCAATAATTTTATCTTCCCTCACCAGTTTTCTTACATTCATTGCAGGGGTGCCTTTTGTTTAATAACAAACCTCAACCTAATTGGACTGATTGGACATATTCTGAAGTTTTTCCTGAGTTCTTTGTGTTGCTAGGTTTCTTATCTTTAATCATAGAGTATCCTAGATAATGAAAATCCTGGAGAATACGGGGAATTGGATGTCTTATGAGAATTGCCAAGTGGCTCCATGTAGAGTCAGTCAGAATTCAGCATAATTCAGCCAGAACTAAATTGTCTTGTATAAAAAAACCCCAGACCTTTCAAGTGTCTCTCCTCTGTGGTGTTTGTGCTTTAATTGTTTATTAGCTTGGGCTGAGAATGGTGTGAAAAGTCAAAGAAAGCTTGCAGTCAGCATGGCATCCAACCATTAAGAAATGTGTGGGAATAATTGATTTACTAGCACTGGCTGTATGCACAAGGGCTTGGGTAGTGCAGTGCAAATGTTCTCAGGCTGGGAAATTACAGCAATGGGGTGTTGGGAGGTCAAGGCATATTCTCAGAGCAGTACAGGGCATAGGCCATTCCAAAAGTGCTGACCCTGAACAAATGAAGTCAGCCAGCTTAAACTGACCTGAAGAGTCTTTGTCTAATCCTATGTTATTGATTTGGAAAATTGATATCTTACGTAATATTCTCATTTTCATACTTAAATGTGTGGATGGGACATCCACGTTCTAAGTACGAAAGCAATTATAGAGAACATAGCGGTGTACCTGGAAGACTGCATTTTGTGAAAGAAATTAAAGTGTACAGGTAATTTCTTGTAGAAATATTCAGTATTTTGATCATTCTAGTCTCTGTTTTTTGTTTTACAATGGTGGGAAATCAGAATGGATGGAGAACAGAAGTGAAGGAACTAAATAGCCCTTTTAATTTTTTTGGAAACATAATAGATTGGTAATAGATTACGGAGATACACAGACCGATAGGTATATTTAGAGAAGAAAATGGAGCTACAGAGATCCAGTTAATGAAATTCACCTTAAGTAATATGAAAGAGAGATTAAAGATGAAAACCTGAGCTATTATTTGGACATTTCGACACTATGCATGATATGTATCCTAATCAACAATGAAAAATTATTATGATCATTTTTGCATTGGACATGCATCTAATTATTTAGTTGTTCTCCAGTAATCCAGACTCCATATGCAATTAAACAGATTTTCATTAGTTATTCTGAATGCTTGTGTTGACAGGCGTGACCTTCTTGAATTTAATATTAAGACATCAGTTAGTGGAGACACATTTATGGATCCCCTGCTTATGTTATCTGGAGATGGAACCCTTGTCATCAAATATCTCTGACGATATTCTGTTAAAAGTGGTTAAGATGCAGCAGTCTAGACCTTGCCTATTAGAATATTATTAGGCTTGCATGCTTTTTTTTTTTTTTTTTTTCCTTGCTTTGTTCTCTATCTTTGCTTAAAAAGCACTGTTGTTTTGTTGACTCTACTGGACTTAAAGAAAAGCAGATGAATAACTAACAACTTACATGTTACACTTTCTCACTGAAGTAAAACTGTTTTACTGCAGTTAACATATGCTCAACTTAGCCAAGCTTCTGAAATTTCACTCTTTGTTAAATACCTGTATTTTATTTCTGCAGCAGTTTTTCCTAGAGGTTTCATGACTGAAGCATTTTTTTATACATTCTCTTAACTGATTTGCAGTGTCAGTAACTTCACTAGAGGACTTCTACTTTTCTTCAAAAGCGTTTGCTAATCCTAGATTCCGATTGGAGCTGAACCTTTGTCTTCTGTTTTAAGTGCTGAGTTGTTTTTGGTTTTGTTGTGGTGGTGTTTCTTTTGGTGATTCCCCCCCCCCAATTTGGGTTTTTTTTTCAGTGGTAGAATTGTGCATGTTTACTTGGTTTCTTAGCATTATTGTATTTTTCTACCCATACTTAGAAAAAGTATTTCCCTAAATAAAAGGGCATTATTTATCATACAGTGTTGACTAACAATGTGAAATTGATTAGTTAAATTATCTGATGGTGATTCTATAAAATACCTTGGGGAGATTTACGTGTTTTTCTAAGTGTGTGAGTTCTGAGTCTGGTTTGGGTCAAAACTCATCCTCCTCCATTCTCTTGGAGCTCTGAGTTCAAAATCTTTTGACTTTGCCTTGCTTAGCCCAGTCTGTTGCGATTTGAAGAGTTTGTGCCTGCACTGTGGTCTTGCTTGTTCCGTCCCTGGTCTCCAGGGCCCTTGCTGTGGAGGTACCAGTGGGGCACACCTCCTGGTTCTGTTCCAGCATTCCTTCTGGAGCATGTTTGTCCCAAAAGGAAAAATACAGTGGGAACAAATACTTCTCCCCTCCTGTTTGTAAATGCCAATGCATAAAGATGTGTATATTTACATCTTAGGTTTAGAGAAATGAACTTTAAATTAAAAGATCTGTGAAGCTCATTCAGCATTGGCAGTCTTTGGTGAAATATTTCCTTTGTACCGGCTACTTGATTGTATGTAAATACTGTATGCAAACTCAGGCTGATTTGGAGAAAACCACCTCTAAAATCATATTGCTTTAAATTATTATTATTTAAATTAAAGTCACTGAGTTTTGCATCTGTTCTGACTGCCTTGGTGTAAATTCTCTATATTTATTGGAACTGTTGTCAAACTATTGGTATCTTATAAATAATTTTAATGCTAATCTATTCATAAGCCAAAGGGCAAATTTCCCACTAGTAAAATCATGCCTTTTGGCTTTGCTGAGATGAAATATATATTGTATGTTAACAGTAGCTACAGGGAAGATACATCTTTGCAAATGTATCCAATTTTATAGTGTGTGTTTCTGGAATAATAGTCACTATCTGAGTAAGGTAATTGTACCAGCGTGTTCCAGGCGTTGCTGGATGACTCCGCATTATCAGCTTTGTACTGTAAAATGATTAGTCCAGGTGGGTAATGGCATGTTGTATCCCTTCATACAGATCTCATTAATACTGTTTGGAGCAGATGCTTCTTTGGATGAGTGGAGCTGAATGTTCAGGCAGGGTAAAGTAATGAGACTCCAGTTCCGAAGAAAAGACTGCTACCGCTAAGAATAATAAAAAGCTTAAAAATGGCTGTGGAATAATTCAAATCAATACAATCAAACAGAACTAGGTTTTACAATGGTGAAATGTGATCTGTACTAAATGGAATCTATTAAGGGCAGTAAGTTATTTTCCTGCATTTCTATGAGTACCTTTTTTATTTTTCACATCTGTACACATGCAATTTTAGTGAAAAATTATAAATATGATCATAATACTATGGCTGTTCAATTATGTTAAGGCAGCTATTTTAAAAAATGCAGAACAGGTAGTTCTTGCCAAAGGCTATTAAATTTGAAAAATATTCATGCAAATTTGATGGCTTGCAGATATCTAAATATGAATAAGTAGATGCAGAATAAAACAGCTCTTTGAGAATTGCTGTTAATTGTCTAATGTGTTTGTAACAAAATAGTTAGGTACATCTGTGAAGCTGTTTTTTCCTTTCATGGTTAGCAAATTACATTTACATTAAAAGAAAGGCCTGTTGCCTAAGTAATTAACTTTTTCTTGTTATCCTAATACAAAACAAAAATATTAAATGTACACTTAATTGTATGATAAAACTAATGGGCATTTTAATTTTTTTTAATCGAATAAATTCCATTTATCTTGAATGTATCAATAAATATATATATATAGAGTATTGATTTATACTGAATATAATTATTTTGATTTAATTACTATATTATCAAACTTACTATTAGTTTTTTTTTAGTTCAGCTTTTTGTAGAAATTGAAGAAATTTATTTTTTTTTAAGAACTTTTAAATTATTGGCAGTTGCAGCCTTTTCAGAAACCTTTATTTGTGATCCTTACTTGAAGGAAATTTATTCAGTATATTTTAAGATAACTTTTCTATAAATGTCATGAAAACAAGGTTGAAGTTTCTCTCAGATTTCCATGGCTCAGTAATTTTTCGTTCCCTACTCTTTTATCATTTACATGGTAAGATGAGACTTACATGCATAACTGATAAAATTGCAAATTTCTAATATGAGAAGTTATCAAAAAAAATTTGATATCCAAAATCCAGAGTAAATTGTGAAAAAATCATCACTGCTAAAAGAACAGCTCATAAAAAAAAAAAAAAAAAGAGAAAACTGAGAAACAGATGTGTGTTTGTTTTAGAAATTAAGAGGTAAAAGGTACTAGCCCCAGAATTAGGTGGCAAGGAAGCAAAATGGTTGCCTGTTTGTAAAGGCTTAAAGAAAAGATACTTGAATGGGTTCATGGAAAAACTATTATCCCTGAGAGAGAGGAGGAAAAAGTTGAGATAATAATGAGAATGAAGGAGAACAGAGAAGATTGGAGAGTAGCGTTAATCCAATTAAATCCCAAATCTATACTCTTGAGAACTCATTATTAAGAACAAGAGACCAGATTGTCAAGAAAGCACATCTTGAGTGTCCTGGGAAAAAAAGCTTGTCTCCTGGGAGTA